GCACTGCAGACCTCGCACACGGAGCCATTATGTTTACAGACGCCCTAAGGACCCGCACTGTAGGAAGGAGAAATCCCCCGGCACATAGTGCAAAGGCCATCTGCTCCCGCCTCCACTGATTCCGTGTCTGGGCTTCTGGCTGCCTTGCTGATGTAAGGGACTGGGCCTGTCCCTCCCCCCACAAACAGTACAGATGTTGGCTGTGAGAGGAAATGGCAGGAAGGAGCAGCCCCAGTCTGGTGCCAGCTGTGTTGCCCAGCACATGATATATGAACAACAATACCAACAACAGTAACAATAGCACTTACCCTGTGTTGTGTGTGCCTCTATGCATCCTAGACAAATCATCACTGTTCCTAACAACAGATCTCAGTGGCATTTATTACTCCTGGTTTAGAGATGTGGAGAGCTCTGAGCCTAGTTGCCAAAAAGAGGTATGACTTGTTGGCAGTTAACAGCATCTACTTGCATGGAAAGAACCCAAAAGCTAAAGTCCTCGCAGGCTCCTGGGCACAGCATGCATGACCCCTACAATATTACTCACTCTATTCATAATAGCTAGAAAAGCTTTGACAGATTGGACAAAAAGTGATTTTCACCCATCCCAGACATGTAGTGGACTCTGGCTGGATTTGTATGGTTTCGTTGATAAAGATGGACTTGGTTATCTCCCCCTCAACCATTCCTGGCCCTGTCTCTGCTGCAGGCAGCACTTGGAGAATAAGAGAATGGTAAGAGGCGAGAAAGGTGGGTATTCACTCATATATATGAAATGAATGAGAAATAAACATAGATGCTGAGCACAATCTAGAAAGGCCACCTTGGTAATGAGCAGAGGTGAGAAAGCAGCCATTTCAGCCCTTCCCAGGCTGCTCGGGGCCAAAGGCCAGGCCTTCCCACCCTCTTCCTGTGCATGGATGAATGTCCCTCACAAATGCTGGCTCTTCTGTTGTTGTTTTTGGAAAACAAATGCTTCCTTCCAAGGTTCCCCCTCCCAGTTAATATCCGTGCTCAGGACTCTGAGTCCCTGGACGCATTACGATGGATTTGTCCAGGTTTGAGATCTTGATTTCATGATTTCCCCCCCCATCTTCCTGATCTCTCCAGAGCCCACTGAGTTATAATACAAGCTTCCACGGGCCTGGAGGATGCTTCAATAGCCCCATACCATGCCTCAGTCTTCCTCTATGTTCCCTCTGCTGCCAGGATGTGGTTTTCTGCAAACATAGTTTATTCTCATTGTAGTCACTTCCCAGACCCGTTTAAAAAGGACAAAAATGCCCCTAGACCCAGCCCTTGCCCTACACAGACTTCCCTATCTCATTTTCCATCCCATGCTCCTTTCTCATCTCAGGGACTAGTTCTGACCCCCATCCCCAGCCTGGGATCAGGTCTCAGATTAACTTTTAAAAACATATGCATCCTACCCAGCATACCAAGTTATGTTTCCTGAATATGACACCCACTGTGAGGTCAATGACAAGCCACTGCTATTCTATGTATATAAAGAAGATCTGGGTCATGTGACTGAATCCACAGAAGGATGTCAGAACTGTTCACCTGTGTCAAGTCTGGGCCCAGAAACCTTGGGGAAGAGTTCTTTCTGTTACACCTGGAGTATGGTAGGAGCCGCCAACTGGCTTCATCCTCCTGACTCCCTGGCCCACCATATTTACAAGCAGAGTCTGTTCTGTGCTAACAAGTTGCTATTTGGCACAACATTTAGTTAGTGTCTTGATGTCTGGGCACGTGCGTGCTTCCTGTAGTGCCTTTGACTCTAGGTCTCGGAGAGCGTGGATTATTTCTGTGCCCTTTAGTGTCTCTCCAAAGACTCTCCTACTGTGAGATTTCCACCAGGGTTGGCTGCCTGTTGGGGTCAGCAGGGAAATGGATTGGGGGGACTAGAATATGCCTAAAAAGATTTGGGAACACAGACACAATAATGAACTCCTGTATTTCCATAGTACTGGTTAAGAATTAGATTCCTACAACAACCTCCTGAAAAAAATAGAGCAGGTATGCCCATATCACAGATGAGAAAACTGAAGCTCTAAAAGATGAAGTGACATCCCCACATCAGACAACAATTAAGTGCAGAATCAAGGCTGAAAGTCTGATCTTCTGGGAATTGTCTAGTGAAGCCCCTACCACGCTACGCCTCCAAAATAAATAGGAAGGAGGAGCGGGAAAAACCTAAGTGCCCATAACATAAGACTAGATAAAGAAGATGTGGTATATTCAGGACGAAATATTGTTCATCCACAAGAAAGAAGGGCGTCCTGCCATCTGCGACGACATGGGTGAAACTTGAGCACAACACTAAGTGAAGTAAGTCAGAGGAAGGACTGTATAGTACCACTTATGTGTGGAATCTAAAAATCTAAACTTTGTAGAGACAGACAGTAAAACTTGTTTGCCAGGGAATAGAAGGAAGGGCATAGGACAGATGTTGTCCGAGGGTAAAACTTGCAACAAGTATTAAATAAACCCTAGGGATCCAATACACAGTAGAGCGCATGTAGAATGTACAATAATACTGTATTATAAACATCGAACTCGCTAAGAGGCTAGAAATTAATTATTCCAACAACTAGAAAGAAAAAATAATTATGTAATGTGATAGGGGTGCTAATTATTGCTACAATGGCAATCATATTACAATAGATGAATGTATCAAATTAACACACTCTATACCTTGAATTTACACAAGGCTATGTGTCAAACATATTTGAAGCATAAAAAAAATGCAAAAAAATAAATTAAATGGAGGGAAACTCCAAGGTAGCTGTATTATAATGTGTCCTTGCTTTAATCGCCTCATCTACAAATTCAAAGCAGGTACCACCTAAACTATAGGTGGTAAGTTCCAGTAGGATAAGTGTTTGGGGGCATATAAACTCTGAGAGTGATAAGCTCTCAAAGGTATGAGCTTGTGAAAGGACAAGCAGAGACCAGAGGGACCAGAGACAGGCACTACTTGGGGACTGAGTCTGGGAATGAAGAAAAGAAGGAAGTGGTAGAGAAACAAGAGGTGTGGAAGGGCGTTCAAAGAACAAAGAGGAAGGCAAGGAGGAGGCATCAGGAGAGAGGCGGAAGGGAGAGGGAAGAAGGGAAGAAAAAGCACAGGAGTAAAAGAAAGATAGGAAAGACAGGGGGGTGAGTAGAAGAAGGACGCACTTCTGTGTCCCTAGGTTTCCTATTAACGGCATCATTCTGGGGGACCGACGCAGTCAGATGGGCGTTAGAGTTTTGCTCACCTTCTTTCCATGGACCAGCCAGCAAAGATAAAAACATAGGAAGTAAGATATACATACAATGAGATTAATAGAACATTAGATATTCAGATAAATTAGAGAAAGGAGAAGAAATATACATACTGAAGTTAGAAGGTAGATAGAAGAAAGAGAAACAAAGGGTTGGCCGAGTTAGGACACCACTGGAGAAAAGCAGAAGCATGGGTCCAAGGCTAAGGCGTGGGTCAGGTTGCCAGCAGACTGGGAGAACATCAGTGGAGCGGGAGCAAATATCCAGAAAAAAGACAACACATTGCATTTGAGGAGAGCAGTGGCGGGAGTGAAAGGTTTAACACTAGGAAACAAAACAGAGCAGTACAATCCAGGGAGAAAAGATCAGTGTGGTCCTTATGAAACCTAAACACTGACACGTGACCTCAAAACATTTTATTAGTTTGTGGCGAATATCCACGTCTGTGTTTGTTCATTGTTTAATAGTCTTGTGTCCACCTGCCATGGAGGTAGTATCTATCTTAATGAACCTTGTAAAACACAGAACCCCAGACTTTATCCTCCTTGAGGAAGGGATTTATGGTGTTGCTGACTGTAAGGATACTAATGGTAGTGAAGATGGTGAAGAAGGCAGGTGACACAGTGGTACAGAAAGTAACAAAAATGGAGCTCTGTCATTGATGGGGAGGGTGGAAACTGTGGTTGTTAGAATGATGATGATCACCACTCGTGAAATGACAGTATGGATGGGGGGGCACTTTGTATGACAAGGAGACAGAGACAAAGAAGCAGAGAGAGAGAGAGAGAGAAAGAGAGAGGTCACCACAGTCACTCATGGTTAACCTCAAAAGCTAAACTAGATTATCATCTGGCCCAGACCCCTTCCTAGAGACATCTCAGACGGCCAAAGCCAACCTCCACACTTATTCCCTAAAACGCCTAATAGGTAGAAAGAGAATGGTGAATCTACAGCCTTGTTTTCTTTCTGAAGGTGTTTTCTGGATTTTGTTTTACTAGAAGACCCTCACCTAGGAATTCCCTGGGAAGGTTTTTAAATTACGCACAGATTATATCTGCAGAAAAGGATGCCGCAAACCACCTAAACTGTGTGGCTCTCAACCCAGATATGGGTCACAGCCTCCCAGGGATTTTCTTCACAATACTAATGCCGGAATCTCATTCCCCACCCCGCCCCAAAAAAATCAAACCCCCAAGGTGGGACACTGGTATGAACATTTTGAAAATAATCCCAAATAATTTTGATTAACTCTTCTGATTAGGAGAGTTCTATTTTACAGACAGGGCAGGCGAAACCCACTAAACACAGTACTTAGTGGCAGAGTCAGAACAAGAACATTCACAGCAAGGTTGCCGCTGACCCAATCAGCATGGCTGCCTGCTCTTATCACTCCATTCACTGTTTTAAAAAAAAATGCCTGGCAGTGTTGGGACCCCAAGGAGAGGGGGAAAGAAGGAACAGTGGGGAAATCAAGAAGCTGAATCAGCGCCACGTTTGGCTTTGCGTGGAGCACACCCAGGTGGAGCTCTGAGGTGAGAGGGTTTCCAAACCCAGGCCTCGCCCCACCCTAACTCCTGCTCCCCGACCCACATCATTGCCCCGCACTTGGGGTCCCTGGGGAGGTAAGTGTGACTTCAACTTCACAAAACCCATGTCCCGCCTCACCCTGTTCCCAAATTATTCACATATATCCAGCCCTCAAGAGGCCCCCAAACCCAGAAGGAACATATTCATACTTTCTTGGTGGGAACTTTGATCTTCAAGAACTCAGCCTCTCTGGCCAGCACCTGCCACGGGGCGTGTATCCGGACAAAGACGGATCCTTGGCTTTTACTCTGTAATGTACAAAGGAAGAAGAAATAGAAACGCTTGTAAGAACATACCTTAAATTTCTGGCTCCCCAAACCAGAAGCCCCAAGCTGGTGTTTCTCCACGTTCTGGGGTTTGTTCTCTTTAGACTTTACCAGGGACCAGTCTCCGCCTACCCACACCCCGCCCAGAAACATCCTCATCAAAACGCACAGGGTAGTGTCCCCAGAGTGCGGTTCCTGGGGTTTGGTGGCTTCGGGAGGAAGTTAAAACCACTGTGTTCACAGATTTGAAATGTGAGCAATTATGATTTTCATAAAAATCCTGTTAACTCTTTACAGCTGTTATCTGCTTTACCTCTGCCAGCTGCCATTTGTCTCCATTCACACATTTTCACTGTTGTTAAGTTTATATTTTTGTTCCACTGCTGTGCTTGGCCGTAGCCCCAAATCACAAAAGTGGGTCACCTAACCCTAACAGTAATCATATAAATAATAATGTAAATAGTGTGACTCCAAATACTAACATGAACATACAGCATGAACAGGGCTCCAGTGTGCATATGGAATGTGAATGTACAAGCGTGTTACAGATCAAGTGATTCTGTATGCTGACTTCACGCAAACACGGAAAGTAAAGAAAGGAAATGCAGTGATGGGTATGTGAAAATTAGGTCTTTTTTTTAAGTTCTTATTTATTCTTAGAGAGAAGGGGAGGGAGGGAGGAAGAGAAGGAGAGAAACATCAATCTGTTGCCTCTCCTACGTGCCCCTACCAGGAATCCAACCAGCGATCTTTCGCTTTGTGGGATGAAGCCCAACCAACTGAGCCACACCAGTCAGGGCTGAAACTCAGGTCTTCATGACTCAACGATCCACCTGGCCCTGACTGCAGTGTCTTTTATAAAAACTGGTCAGATTACGACGTGAAGCCATCAGTTGCTACTCACCTTCAAATAAAACCTCAATTTTTTTTCCAGAACAAGAACACACAGGAAAAAATGCTTTCTGATAATAATTTAACTAATTTTGCCCATAAAGAATGAAAGAGATCAGAATAACTAGGAAAAATAGAGAAAAGCCCTAGCGCTTGTGGGAAGTGTCTAAAACTGCCTGAGAAGTTCATCATGAACACTGGCCCCAGAGACAGTAGAACACAATGCTAGCAAAGTTCCTTCACCACATGACTGTGGGAAACTGCCTCAAAGCTGTGCACCACAGCGGGAAGGCCCCGGTGCGCCGGCCAACATGCCGCTGGGGTACGGCCTCTGAGGGGCAGAGTGGGAAGAGGAGACATAGCAAAAGCGTCCTGTAGAGACAGACTTGCAGCTTCTCGTTCCACTTACCCCCCGAGAACCCATGCTACAGGAGGAGAGGAGGCTTTCATTAAATTACTGTGTATTTCATGAAGCAGGATGCACAGAGACCAGCACTGGGAAAGCACCAACTCTGTGTTCAGCAAAGATGTCACTGTCCACAGAAAATCAGTGTTCCTTTTGAAAATCATCCCCCAACTTCATTCACAGAGACCAGTCGGTGGTCAGCCACTCACCCTCCGGTCTTGGTTCGGTGCTGAAGATAATAGTGGAAGCCATCCACACACAGCCTCCGACCATCTGTCTGCCTCTCCAGTGTGCCAGGTGGAGAATTAAGTGACAAGACAGTTTTCTCCACTGACTATAATGGTGCTCACATATGTTTTTGAAATGAGGAATAAAATTAAAAAGGCACTTTATAATGCTCATAATGTAAATGAAGACTACTCCTATGATTTTTTAAAGATTTTATTTATTTATTTTTAGAGAGAGGGGAAGGGGAATAAGGAAGAGAGGGAGAGAAACATCAATGTGTGGTCATCTCTTGAGCACCCCCTACTGTGGACCTGGCCCACAGCACAGGCGTGTGCTCTGACTGGGAATCAAACTGGCAACACTTTGGTTTGCAGGCCTGTGCTCAATCCACTGAGCCACACTAGCCAGGGCTACTTCTGTGATTTTGAATGGTGGCTCTACAACATATTCAGTAATTCAAACATCCAGAACCTACCCCTTCTTTGGGAATAAAAGAATTGATGATTTATAAGGGAAAAGAATAAAAAAGAAGTCAGGATTTTGTAAGAATATTGAACTATGATATGAAAGTTGGGGACAGTCTAGAGTTTACAAATACCTGAAAAGAATGACAATAACCATGGTGCTTATTTACTGAGTGTGTATCATGTGTCAGGACAGATTCGGGAGGTTGTGTGTTTTAGAGCACAGAACAGTCACAGCCATGCTGTGAAGCAGGGACTGTCACCACCTCTATTTATAGCTGAGGAAATTGAGGCAGGAAATACGTAAACAACTTGTCCACAGTTACACAGTGCGACAAAATAAAAAGTATTCTAATCCCGGCCGGCAATGCTCTATCTGATGATTTCCTCCTCTCATCAAAGACAGGTGGGACCCGCTAGCGAGCACAGTTGAAAACCACATCCAAGGACTGAAACAGGACATAAAGGCATGCTTTTTTGACTAAAATTGAATCGAAGCATGGATAAAGAATCTACAAGGCAGCCCTAAGATGAAATAACCTTTCAGCCACCAGGTGGACAGAGTTGTGGCAAAACACTGGAAGTGGCTTTCAGCAAGAAATCTCCCAACTACTCTGTCGATCTATGGTTGCAATATCCAGAACCACTACACAGAGTCATCGATCACTTTCTGCCACTTCCAACTGTAATTTATGATTTTCTAATTTAGTGAAAATAAGAAGTAAATAAAAAGACATCTCTAAAACTGACCTGCAGCCCAGCTTTTCATTATGGCCCAAGAAACAAAGTTTTTGGTGAAAGATTGCAAATAGTGCCATCCCTCTCACTAAGATAAAATCAACACTATTATTAATTTTAATATATTTTGCTTTGTCTTTATTTTTAATTTGTGGTGAAGTTTTTAAAAATTTTATGTAGAATTAGTGGCTCAAGTGTGTACCAAATGTCCATTAAGTGGCTGCAGATGTTCAAAGTTTGAGACAGGACTGGAAGGGCCAGGGTCACATCCCACGGCCTTGGTGGCAGAATGCTAGCTGTCCCCTGACAGTCATCCTCGTTTTCTTGATTTGTGAAATAAGCACATGGCATCTAGAATTGAGACTTTATCTCCCTTGTAGTTAGGTGTAACCATAACACTAATTTTTGACAAATATGGTGTAAGGGAAAGTGATGTAAAGCACTTTCTGGCCACCCTCTTCAGAGACAGCAAGTAGATGGCTTTTGCCCGTTCATCTTCTTTGTGACCCTTGGATATAAGCATCTTAGCACATGGAGATCAAAATCAAGGTCAGGAATAGGAAAGTATCAAGAGTCCTGATTCTATGAACTGTCACAGCAGCCCTGGGCTGTCTTCTGGATTTTTATGTGGAATATAAAGTTCTATCTTAGTTAGTTAGCCATTGTGAATTTAAGAGGCTTTATCATTTGCAGCCCAACCTTATACTAATGCAACATCGTTCCCAATGTGGGGGCATTAACTGCCTCTAGCAAAGCAGGCTTCCTCTCCATTCTCCTCAAACAGAAATAGTTTCAAGTGAAAATAAAACCTAGAGTACAGTTTTGTGGTACTAACATCTAGTCACCGTGTTCCTTTTAGGCCATGAAACATTTTTACTTTCTCCTAAAAAGAAAAACTTGAGAGCTAATGTGAAATATTAGCTGGTGTGACTGGCTATGTTTCCTGAAGAAAAAACAAAAATTCTTGAATAGAATCATCAGCAAATGCAGACGCCCTTTTCACTAACCCAAGAATCTAACATTAGGAGTTAACAGAGATTGAGCTAAAAAATAACAAGAAGAAGGAAAAAAAGAAGCAGAAAGAGAAAAAGGAAGAAAAGTTCCTTGTTCTCTAGGCCCAACAGACTTCCATTCTGCCCTGTATCTGGATCTTTGAGGCACAGTACAGGGTAGAAAGAGTGGGCTTCAGATTCAAACAGAGTAAGATCTGAATCCTGGATTTTATAGCCATGGGGCATTGGGCAAGTTGCTTAACCAAGAATGTCTGTTTTTTTATCAGAATCAGGAAGATGAGACAGACCTCAGGACTGTCACGAGGACTGGAGGTAAAGTACGTGAGGTCTATATTATACGGCCTGGAATGCGGACCATTCAATAGATGTCAGCCATTACTGACTAAAATGACTATTTCTTACAGGGACTTTATCTGAAACTTCTTTTGTGTTCCTCAAGCATCCAGTACAGCACTGGACACACAGTAGGTCCTCCTTAAATTGTTGCAATTGACAGAAAAGACTTAGAGAAAAACAATTTCTGTTAGATTAAAATTGTGGATAAGTAATCCTGGTTTACTGCCTTGAACTTTTTTGGGGGGGTTGGTTTTTTTGTTTGTTTATTTGTTTGTTGGAGGGGTCATTTCCCCAATTTTTAAAATCTAATTGATGTACAATATTATACTAGTTTCAGGTGCACAATATAGTGATTTGACATACCTTACAATGTGATCACCCTACCAAGTCTAGTAATTAACTGTCACCCTGAAGACTTATGACAATATTATTGACTATATTCCCCTTCACCTTGTTCACACATCCCCCACCCCCATTTTCAAAATGTCTCATGGACCCTAAAGGAATTCACAAGTTCAAAACATCTTCAGGATTTGTAAACAAAATCAGAAAACATTTTCTGAACCCAACACAAATATAACAAAGTAGAAAAGATCAGTCATCAGAGCATATAACTCATCCTTAAAATAGATTTTATAAATAAGTAATCGAAGTGATAGGGTGTGTGGCAAAACAGCTGCAACCTGTAAGGGCTACAAGGACTATCATGGTGACACTTAGAGCAACCCCCAACAGATTTATGGCTTAGAACTGGTGGAAGACCAGCTCTATCCAATATGACAACTCATTTCACCACGTGGTGACCCCTAGCCTCATTATGCACTCATTGTAATACATTAGCATACCCCACACTGCCATAATCAGAAACAGAAAGCCCTTATAAGGACACAAAATGGCTGATGGGGC